AATCCTCCTGCCTCAGCCTCCTGAGTCACTGGGATTTCAGGCATGTGCTGGCATATCCAGCAACAATCAATTCACCTCTATTATTATTATTATCATCATCATCATCATCATTATTTTGGACAGAAAATGCATAGATTTAATGAAGCTAAAAATAACAGTCCATAAAGTAGAATGAATATACTCAGTAGAGCAGAGTAGGCCAGATGTGGGCAGAGAGAGGGAGACTGGCTGTAGGCCAGCAATTTACCTCTTAAAGGAAAATATCCTGAAATGCAAATTTATAATCCAGTAAAGTATCTAAATTAGTTACTTCAAAAAAAAAAAAAGAGAGAGAGAGAGAGAGAGAGAGAGAGAGAGAGAGATTCTTAAGTTGTGGTGGTTCGCACCTGTAGGTCCAACTACTGTTAAGGCTGAGGCAGGAGGATCCCAAGTTCCAGACTAGCCTGGGCAATTTAGGGGACTATCCCAAAATAAATAAAAAAGGCTGGGGATGTAGTTCAGTGGTCGAGTGTCTGCTTACGATGCATGAGGCTCTGGGTTCAATTCCTAGTACTGAGAAGGAGAGAAAAAAGAATTAATTCTTTGCTCTATGGAAGGATTTTCTATAAGGAATATATAGGGGTTTCCTTGCCAGGTAAGGTGTCATATGCTAAGGCAGGAAGATCACAGGTTCAAGGCCAGCCTCAGCAATTTACGAAGGCCCTAAGCTCCAAAAATAAAAAAGGGCTCCGGATGTAGCTCAGTGGTAAAGTACCCCTGGGTCAGTCCCTAGTATCAAAAAGAGCAACAGGGCTGGGATTGTGGCTCAGTGGTAGAGTGCTTGCCTAGCATGCATGAGGCACTGGGTTCAATCCTTAGAATCACATAAATGTAAAATAAAGATATTGTATCCACCTAAACTAAAAAATAAATATTAAAAAACAAAACAGCAACAAAAAAAGAGGGATTTCCTTAAATTTTTTTTTTTGTGTGTGTGTGTGTGTGTGTGGTATTGGAGATTGAACCCAGGTCCTGTGCATGAAGCAAGCACTGTATTAAATTAGCTATATCCCCAGCCCCTCCTTAAGTATTTTACAGATAATTGACTTTTTTTTTTTT